GAAGGAGAAGCGGCTTCTGCAGGTGGTGGCGCTGGTGCTGGCGGCCCTGGTCCTTCTGCCCAACGTGGGGCTGTGGGCGCTGTACCGCGAACGGCAGCCCGACGGCACCCCCGGGGGATCTGGGGTTGCGGTGGCCCCGGCGGCCGGACAGGTGAGTCCCCCAGTTGTGACGGGGTTGGGAACACTTTCTCCCCAAATTTACTTACAGCTTTCAGTCCCTTCCTTCGCCTTCCCCTGCCTTCTCAGAGTCAGCGCCGGAGACTCTTCTGTTCTTTCCATTTTTTGAATGGGAAATTGAGGCTTAGAGAAGGGCAACTACTTGTCCAGGGTCCCACTCCCGTCAGAGCCAGAGCCAGAACTAGAAACCAGTACTCCTGATGCCCAGTCTGGAGGTCTGCTTCTTACCGTAGGTTAGCATTCTCTTTTCGGTCCATGTTTGGGTATCCCCTCACCCCTTCCAGCATCTCTCTTTTGGAGGATCCTGTCTGCATGCCTGTATCCCAGGGTAACTCCTTCTAGAGATCCCAGTACTTCTGTTTGGTGTCCAGGCATTTTCTGCTTACTCCCACCTGCTGATCCCGGTGTTCCCTACTCAGGTCAGCTGCTTTCCTGCTTCCCCATCTGCCCAAAGGCACACCTGGGCCTCCCTCCTTCCAGGTTTGTTCACCCTCCCTCCTCCCAGCCCTTTCTTTCCCAGATCCTGAGTTCCTTGGAGGATGCAAAGACCACGCTTCCCTTGGAGCTTCAGGCCCTAGGCGTGGGGAAGGGGGTGAGCCCCTGGTCCTGGAGTGGCCTGCTGCCTTTGACCTCCTGGTGGTCCAGAGGTGGGGGCTCTGGTGGAGGGATCCCCCAAATTTCCCAGAAGCTATTTGTGCTCAGCGCCCTGAAGATGAAATATTATATGCTTTCCTTGTCCCTTCTCAGAGTACCGTGACCCCTCTGAACTTGTTCAGGCTAATTAGGTGTGGTGTTTCTCGCAGCAAAGACTAGGACCTTAATTGTTTCTGCCGCCTCTCACTCATGTGTGTGTGTTCGCGTGCACTGTGTGTCACACATACATATAGACTGCTAGCAGAAGCTCTGTCAGATCACTCCTACCCTTCCAGCCCCTGGCTCAGTAGGTGACAGTGAGTGTATGCATGCTGGAACTGTTTCACACAAGGGGACATTTCGGGTTTGTTATGGGATTTCCTTGTTCCATAGGAAGTGGATAATTTGTGCATCAGGGTCAAATTTGACTGATTATTGGCAGGATGAGTGAAGAGGCTGACTTTTGAAGCTAACTGTTTTCCTTCCTCTTCCCAATATCAGGCTGATCTCTGAGCAGTGTGGCATCTTGAGCACAGAGGGATCTTTGCGACAGAGCTGACCAATTTTGAGTGTAGCCTGTCACTCAGTAATTGTTGCAAACCATCCTGCTGGGCCTGATTGATGTTTCTGTTTGGACACTAAGGGCCCTTGCTAACTCATTTCCTAAATCCCTGGTTTAGACCCTGACAGCCAACTTAGACCCCTCTCCCTTATTCTGTATTCATATGGGTTTTTGATTCATGAATTATTTCTTCTGTTCCCACCCTGTGCCAGCATCAGGGTTAGGAGATCAGGGATCTATCCTCTGCCCTTCTGTTAACTTGCTATGTATGTCCTTGCTCACATCCCAGGTCCATCTCTGAGACTCCCTTTCCCTTTATGTAAAATGTGCTTTTTGGTCCGGCTCCACCACTCTTTAATACCATCATTGAATCAATAACTACTGTACATGGACCACTTTTTTCCTGGGGCAGGAGCCCCTGGTAGCATGCCTAGCTGCTGGGGCACCATACTGGACACAACCGCAGGTCAAGGGGGAGAGTGTCCTGCCCAAGTGCAAACTCTCCTTTGGAATAGCTCTGGCCAGTTCTAAAATAGCTCATAACATTCTGCCTCTGCCTGGAGAAAGCCCTCGTATTTCATTTGCTGTGGATGCCAGACATCCTGATTCTCATTTTCTATAGACCCAGATGTGTAGAGAGAAGGTCAAGGTTAACTGCCAGTTTGGCCTGAGCTTTCAAAGTAAATTACTCACTTGTGCAAGAGGGACTTGATGGAGTAAGGCAGCCTTTTGGGCAGAGACAGAGGGAAGCAACAGCTGGGCGCTGCTCAGAGCCCTTAACAGAAATGGACAGACAAGCACATCTGGGAAGGTCTAGTTGTTCATTTCTTTTGCTCTGCGGTATCGTCAAGAGGAGGAGGGAGAAGTGGTGAGTGGGGTTTGGTGGTGGTGGTAGGCGTGCCAACTGGTTATCTTTGCTTTAAGGAAAATCTCTTTGCTTCCTGGGCACAGCAGAATGGAGCTGTTTCCCCAGTGGTAAGCTCTTCTAGGTGCTATAGGATTCCGCATTCATCTGCTGCCCTTCAGGAACACTCTGCCAAATTTCCACACAGTCCCCTATTTGTTCCACTCTCCTGCAGATGCACAGCACTGGGCTTGGCCCCCAGTCCTGTGTTTGAATGTCAGCTGGCCTTGAGGGAAGAGGCTGACTTCTCACAGCTACAGTGTCCCGTCCCTCATCCCAGTGTACTGGAATGTGCACGGAACATGTCAGGCTGCTGTCTCGGAAATCTGGCATCTGGAACACACAGAGCTTCTTTCGATAGGGCTGACCAGTTCTGATCTCAGCCTGTCACTCTTGTAATTGTGGAGAATAATCCCAGAACACCTCGTTGATCTTTCCCGTAGAAATAACTGCAGAGGCTCTGGAGAGAAGTCTGACAGGACTTTATCCAAATGAAAAATATATTCCTTGTGGGTTTGAGAGAAGCTTCTTTGAGGGTAACAAACACACTGAGCAGTCCTTTAACTCCTTGATTTCTCCACTGGATTGGAGAATACAGAGTTTTAAGTTAAGAGCATTTATCATCTGCTAGAACTTAAAGTCTACATAACTGTCACTCTGGCTCATTCTAGGTGCACCTCTGGAGCTGGGGAGAGCAGCAGATTTATAAAGAACACATAAGGCTTTTAGGATTTCAGCATTCATCTGGTCAGACAGCTCAGCTGGCTGCTTTGAAAGCTGCAAAACCAAGCAACAAATGCCAGTCTCGAAGCCATCTTCAGTTTAACTTGGGGTCCCCCTCTCATTCCCAGCCCCCATCTGCTTAACATCTTGGTTTGATTCTACAGTCTGTTTCATATTCCAGACTTGGGAACTGGCCATTAAAAACCCATACTTGGAAGTACTGTGCAGTTCCTCCCCATTTCTGAGCCGTAATCTCTTGTGAGAAATGACTTCATTGGATAATAGCGACTGTGGAATAGAAATTGGTGGGATAATGGAATACCAATGACTTAAAGTTTCAAGTATCAAGAGCTTTTTTTCAATGTGTCTTCATTTTCCATTGTGAGCTTTATTCTTAGAACGTCCAGAAATCAATACTTTTTTCCCCTTTGTCAGTCTTCCTGGTGTCAGAGCCTTACCAATCAGAAAGTTAAGTACCATAGAAATGTAGCTTTGGAATGACGTCCTTACTTTTCCATGGAGGGGCTGGGATCCTTTAGATGGCTAATCACTTCTCTGCCTGCATGCCCAGCTGAAATCTGATGCCACAGGGGAAGGGTTGGTGATTTACCTGAGTAAATCTGGCTCCCAGCCTGCATTCTCTTATCCTAGATTTACATTCTCCCAAGGAGCCCAGCTGAGGAAGGCTTGGGAGCAGAGGCCTGGGTTCTAGTTCTCTCTCCTTCCCTAAATGTACTGTGTGACCTTAGGAAAGTGGTTTAACCTCTCTGGGCCTTGAGTTCCTCATTTGTGAAGTAAGGGCTTAGATTTAGAAGAGGAAAGGCAGTTGTGTGTTATAATGGTGCTTCCCCTCCCCTGGCCAGGGAAGACCTTGCTAAGCAATCTTTCCCTTTAAGCCCAGACTTGGCCTCAGACTTTTCCTCAGCACTGCTACTCAAGTGGTGTCAATGGCATGTTGAAACTCATGTGCGATATACGGGATGGATACTGTTAGGACTCTTCCAACTCTAACATCCTGGGGTTCTGGGAGTTTGTTTGGAAGCATGTATTGAAAAGGCCTGGAGAGTAGCAGTGTGTTTAACCAGGCTTCCGTATCTAACTTGTGATGAGGCCATTACTTAGAGATATATTCAAACTCTAATGCCTTCTCTCAGGCTGTAGTCTAACGATGTTCAGCTTTTAATCTGCTGGCTCCAGTGACACGATAAAAAAAATAATGGAATCGGGAATGAAAAAGCAAAGCCTGTTTGAAAGATAACCATCTAGCTTGCTAATTGTACCTTGTCCACAGTCAGCTCTTCCACAGAGATGGCATCAGGATCTCATCACGTAGAAATTCCTGGAGGCAAACTTGGCAGTCAGAAGTATGTCCCATGACAGCTAAATGTTCATGATGGTGTTTGCAGTGGGTTTTTTATTTTGCATATATCTGACCCTCGGCATTCCATATATGTGTCAGAGCCAGCAAAAGGAGAACTGATGGATAAGGCTCTGCCCCTAGGAAGACTGAAGTAAGACTCCTGCTTCTCTGAAAACCACGGTCCCCGGGCCCAATGGAGTGGGGCAGGGAGGTAGCCTGTATGTGCCTGAGTTCCAGTGGCCCTCCCTCCAGGAAATGCCTAGGAGCACATAGCATGAGGCCTGGCCCTTAAGATAGTCAGAGCATGTTCGCTGAGTGGCGATATGTACCAGCAGGAAGGGGGCTCCATAAGTCATCTAGCCCAGCCCCCTCATCTCGGAGATGTAGAAACCGAGGCCCAGGAGAGAGGAGATCGGTTCACAGGGGCATGCAGAGCAGAACCCATCCCTTACTGTTTCACCATCAGTATTTTCCCCTCCGCACCCTAATATTTGATCCCTCTCTACCATTGTTTCCCTCATGAGCCAAGATTTTCACTCCCAGTTTTGGAGGCTGGTACTTACGGAGACCAACTCTTTGCTGGAACTTACCTGGCTTTTAACTTTCCCCCCCAAATGTTTATCATTTTAAAGCAAGTAAAATGGATTAAATTTTAAAGTGGCAAAGGGATCCAGCAGGGGAATTAAAGGAGTTAAGAGGATGCATCACACTTGGCACTTCTACTGCTATCCGTGGCAGACAGAGCTAATCTCAGTTTAAGAGCCACCTCAGATCCTCTGTCAGTTATAGGTA